CCCATCCTCATCATCACACAGGAAGTCCCTCTGGCCCTGACACACACCTTTAAAAAGATGGATGAATGAACTTACAGCAGGAATAGAGGGAAGACAGGATGACAAAACGAACGCTGTTATGGTCAATTCGATGCATCTCACCATTTGTTCGTAACATTAGACTCAGAAAGAGTGTGTCTTCTACTGCCTCAAATTCTCAAAGTAGAATGAAAAAGACCCAGTTTGGACCCACAGGACTTGTCTCATTTGCTATTGGTTTGCAATAAATCGTCCGGAGTTCTGCCCTGAATGTTGATGTCAGTCCCGCCTGCAGCTTATAACACACACGGAGGCGATGTGTGCAAGCAAGCGGGCTGGCGACGGTGTAACCATGTCAACACTTATCAGCTCAGCTCGTAAACTTTTGAAGAAATAGAGGAGAAGTTTCAAGGTTCGCAATGCCTCGGTGCTCGGTAAGAATCTAAACCGGCACAGCACCTTGTGTCAGCAGGCTTGGTTTGAAGAGGAACACACACAACCAACAACACCAGTGAGCAATAAAACTACGTACTAACACATCGCGACGGCATACCAGCAGAGTTGGCTGAGAAACCAAACCATCACCACACACATAAACAGGTGTAATCAAACCGCAAAGTGCTAAGAAATCCAGGGAATATGCCTGTGGAACGTTGCCATTGATAAGAAGTGAGCCGCTTTCGACACTAAAAGCCGAACGTTGAAGAGGGAAACGAGAAGGAAAAAGACCCAAGAGAAGAAGGAGAGAAAGAGGAGGAGGCTTGCCCTGCGAGTTGTTTGAGTTTGGCTCGTCTCTAAACAGCAGTTTGTTTGAAACCTCTCGTGGCCTGTTTCCTCATGACCAAGCTCTCCTCCTTCATCCACCTGCCAGGCTACACGGAGGGGGGGTTGGGGGGGTTAGGGAGCTCCCGGGCAGGGTGGGGGGAGGCGGCCCGACACCCCCCCTGGACTCTGCAGCTAAAGCGCTGATGGTTAGCTAGCACAGCTCCCTTTGTGCTGAAGCCCGAGCTTTAAACTGCTGCGTCTGCCTCCGACACACACGTACGTCCACACACACCTCAGCAAAAACAGACACTCGGCCCGTCGATACACACCCGTCACCTGGCGCTGGGAAACGAACGAGTGTGAGTGTGGACAACACACAAGCGGGAGCTAACACACGTGCAGCCACCGACGGCGCTGTGTGACATCACCTGGGCTCAGAGGTGCCTCCCTCAGCTCTTCCATATGCACCGTCCTGATCACACACACACACACACACACACACACACACACACACAGAGTGCTCACCTCTGGTCATGATGTACGCTCTCAAAGGACACCGCCTGCCCCACCAGCACTGATGCGGTCATCAGTAGGGTCATTAATTGTGGCGTCCCTCAGGGGGCAGCACACCGAGGCAGGATGGGATAGGGTGGGGAAGTGTGTGTGTGTGTGTGCGGTGCTTCGTCCTTTGTGAGGACCAATTTCAGTTTTACACCTTGAGAGTGAGGGTATTTGGGTGACTGAGGGGATTTTAGTGAGTCAAGGGCACTTTTGGAAAAGTAGAAAAACATTTTAGAAACTGAGGATAGTTTTGTGGTGAGTGAGGACATTTTAGAAAATTTAATTTCTAGTACAATTGTAAGTACAGACCTTATTGTAGGATCTTTTGATAAATTAAGACTTTTTCCAAGGACTTTCTGAAACATGAATTCGTTTTTTAATAATGCTGACATTTTCAGAAAGTGAGAATAATTTTGGAAAAAACAGTGCTGGATTGGAAAGCAGAAACATGTTCCTGACAATGACAATATTTGTGGTGAGTGTGAACACTTTTAGAAAATTAAGAAATTTTTGGAGGATGTTTTCTGGAAATTGAGAAAGTCAGGTCCTTTTGAAAAAGTAGAATAGTGAATATTTGGCTGACCGTGGGTAGATTTAGCAAAGTCAGGACATTTTGTCTGCTCTTTGTCTTTTAAAGTTTACAAACATTTGTGGTTAGGGGCCAGGAAATGCATTATGCCAATGAGGGTCCTCTAAAGTATAGAAGTACAAAATTATTGGTGTGTGTGCACATATGTGTGTGTGTGTGATGGGGGGGTGGTGTATGTTTGGCCCACGCCGATGCTGCATCTGGCATGGGGCACACATTTTGCTGATTTAGCATTTTAGCATGCTGCTGCTTGCGTTGTGTGTGCACTGTACGTACAGTAGGAACATGCACAGTGTGTGTTTCTCTGATTGTGTGTGTTATATGTAAGTGTGTAGTGCAGTTTTAAAAAAGCAAGTTAGAAAATTACAAAGAAAATAAAAAAACTGACAAATATTAGCAAATAAAGGACATGAATCTGGTCCCAAATACTCTCACATGTATATTTCTGTGTGTTGTTATGTACACTACAAATGAGCTGGTATACAGTACATACACTCATCTTCGCCGACCTCCCTCTCGAAGCTTCTGTCTCTACTTTTCCAGAGCGTTTGTGTCTGTTTTTGTGTGTGAGACAGTGAAATAGTGCGCATGTGATGTGCTGTAAATCCCCTCTGTTTGTCTGGTTTCCCCCTCATTAGAGAGAGAGAGTTAACGTTAGCACAAGTGTCCTGCGCTGGACCGTGAGATTAGTAATTAACGCCGAGTCTAACGAAGGGAGAAAAAACAACACCTCGACAAAGTCCGACCATCAAGCAGCCAGACCTGCTGACAGAGACAAACTTATCCACTGACACTTCCAAACTCCGCCTGGGGTGCACAGTCACATGGGCGGGAGTGTGTATGTGTGTGTGTATTTAGGATATTTTTCATTCATTTTTGGTGATGGCTTATGGAGCAGAAAAGAAAGCAGGAACAAAGAGGGCAGAAATAAAATCTCTCTCTGTGTCTCCCTATTTCTTTCTCCAACTTCATTTTTTTGTAATTTCACATTCAATCACAATATCAGTTTTTGACCAATCACACGCCGGTCTCTCAATCTCGGAGAGCCACTTCCCCCCCGACCATTCGGCCTCTCCCAGCCCTTCACCGTCTGGCTTACAGAAATCCCAGAAATCCAAGCGGATGGAAGCTCCCCGTGGTTAATGATGTCACAGGCTGATCCATTCCTGTGTCCGCTACGCTCCCACTCAAATCCTCCACAATTCCCATATGTGCTCCATGATAAGTCCCATCATGCCTTTCTGCTGACCCTCCTCGGCCCACCTTATTCATTTCGGGTCTGTCTTCTCCAGAGCTGGGATTTGGGCGGACTCGGGGCGGGTTTGGAAGGGTTAATAGGAAGCTAAGAGGTAGGAAATGATGGAAGGGGGAGGAGAGAGGAGACGTTTAGCTCACCTTGGAAGGGTGTTCAATAGAGGCATCAAAGGGGACAGGAGATGTCCTCCGTTCTACACAAAGCTGGAAATCCTTTTATTAGCCCAGCTAGCATGTAATGGGAGGAGAAGGAGGCAGGGAGCTGAGAACGTTATCCCTCAGTTATGTTGTATTTTTAAAGTCAGACTGTCCTAATATCTTGTTTTCTAAGTCTCTCGAGCTAATCAGATATTTATTTCATCCTGTTTTTCATCTGCACTTTCTTTTCCAATGTGGAGAGAGCATACAATTTGATATTTAGTTCAGAGTTTTAATCCTTTAGTTTGAGTTAGTTTAATGGGGATAAAGAGGAGAAGGTCAGAAGGTGAAAGTAAAAAGTGAGTACTGTACTTCAGCTCATACCACTGACACATAATGGACTGTACTTGTACTGTTTCTGATTGGCAGGTTTTTGTTAAAATCAAATAACAGGACACCTCAGGCATACAGCAGCATAACCACCAACTAACCCTACCCGTTCATAATTAATGACAACTGAGCATCTGCTGATGAAGACCAGTAAAAACGGAAAGTAAGTGAACCTTCAGTTTTGTCAAACTACTGTTTCCAGGTTTTTTTTTCTTATAACTAACTTTTACGGTCAAGAAGTCCTGAGTGCTATGGGAGTGAAATAAGCAGCTACTGTGCTCAAATGTCAACAGATCCATGTCCATGACGACTTAGCTAACTCTCATCCAGTGATGCAAACTGCATAATATGTTTGAAAGCCCCTGAAAAAGCTATTAAATTTGACCTTGAGTTGGGATTTTGTCAAATAAAGACATACATTTAATGTGACGTTAAAATTATTAAAGGTTGGCATCCCGGGTTCAAGTCCGACCTGCGGCCCTTTGCTGCATGTCGTCCACTATCTCTCTGCCCTCCTTTCCTGTCTCTCTACAGCTATCTCTGTCAAATAAAGGCATAAAGGCCAAAAAAAAAAAAATTATTGTTATTAAAAATTATTAAAGGTTGACAAAGAATTGAAGCTATGAAGGATTTACTGATCCATTGAAAGTGTATAAGTGGCTGGAGTACTTCCTGGTTTCTGCCTTGTTACTATTGTGTTACAACACAGGGTTATATAATGAAATTCAGGTTACCTTTATGCTACTCATAAAAACTAAATATATATATATATATAAAGCTTTGTTACGAATTCAGTTGCCAAACACTGCATTTATATTCACAGCTACAAAATTAAAATGCTTCTTACATGTTGTTAATGCATCCTTAATTATAATCCAGTAATACATCTAGAATAATGAATGATAAATGGGACATTCTGCCAAATAATGCCTAATTGTGCTGATAATACTCATCTAATTTTACTTCTCAATGCCTGACTGTTACATTGCAGTATTAGTATTTTTACTCATGTAAAGGATCCCAGTATTTCTGGTCCCAGTGTTCTCAGACAGCAGAAAGTGCTTGAGGTTTAGAGAAGTGAGGACATTTATGGAAAATTAGGATACTTCATCCTCATTTGTTCAAAGGGCTGCTGAGGCTTTTATTGGTGTTTTTTAGTGTTGGGGGTAAGCCATGCAGCTGTGATGGTTAAGGTTAGGGTTAAAGAAAGCACGATGTCAAAGAGAGTCCTCGGAAGTACAAATGCGTGCGTGAACAGAGTGTTTTTGTGTTTGTTTGTGTGCAGGCGACCAGAGCCACCGAGGAACTCATTCAGCCTCTACCTGCCACGACATTGGAGGACCAGGGAGTGTGAGAGAGGTGTGTCTGAATAATTGATAATAAGTAGATTTCAATAGGCTGAACATGTCCCTCCTGATCAGCGACCTGTCAGTCAGTCAGGACCTCCCTGCCATTGGACAGGAGGGGGGGTGTCGAGGTGATGATGGACCAGACATGGAGGGAATGGATGGAGAGAAAACAGGAGGGGGGATATGAGATGTAAGGTATGGAGGTTGGTAGAAATAAGGCCACTACAAGCCCCGCACCTCCTCCTCTTCCTCGTCTCACCTGGAGAGACTCATGCGTAGCTTTTCTCCTTAGACCTCGGGGACGTCAAACCCAAAACGTGTCTGGAGCGGAACACAGTGAACCCGGGCCGTGACGAGGAGCTGAATTAGAGGAGGAAAGTGGCTAAAAAGCTCTGAGGAAGTTGCTGACGGAGGCAGTTGTGTGGATCAACTCTCTCAGGTGGCTGCCAGCTTCACTACGTTCCTTCCAGGCCTTCTCAACTCTGTAAACTTTGTGTGTGTGTGTGTGGAGCGAGAGGCGAGGTTGATAATGTCAGCAGTGACCGGCCATCTCTCAGACCAAATGGGCCTCAGCTGTCAGCTGTGGTAGAGCTAAACTGAGTTTAGGGGAGATTAACACAGAATGACATCCTGTTTGCTTCAGTCTAATCCTAATCTAATCTGACGGAGCTGCATGTGGGGAAATGTTGCGCTCACTTTGCCTCCCAGAAAAGCTTGTTTTACATTCTTTCATTGTGTCGGACAACACAGGGAAGTTATTTAAATTCTGGTGGGTAGATTTGTGTCTGTGTTTGCCTCGTTGGAACCAAGTAGCAGTGGAAAGTCAAACGGATCTGTAGAGGGGTAGACAGATGAATGGATGGACTGATGGATGAATTTATAAACGGATAGAGAGAAAGATGGGTTTGTAAAGGACGTGGCTGTGGCTCAGAAGGTAGAGCAGGTTGATCATCAATTCCAGGGTTAGCGGTTCAACCCTCAGTTCCTCCTGTTCATTTATAAAAGTGTCCTTGAGCAAGACATTGAATACCGAGTTGCTCCCGGATGGCTCTGCCGCCATCAGTGAATGAATGTAAGTGTAAATGGGGTCTATAAAAAGGTCATATGTACACCACGAGGTGATAGTCACATAGTCGGTAGTTTCAGCTCCGAGTTGCGTGCAAGCGGTGAGTTTGCTACGAACACAAGCTCTCTTTGCTTTTCTAGTGTAATAAATTCACAGAACATGAAGAAAGGACATAATTGTACACCTATTTTCCTTATAAACATAAAAATACAGCCACATACCTTCTAAATAAAAATAAAAAAAAGACCAGCTTAATTGCGTTGTAAACTCGACATAAACTAAATAAAACCCACCTTGGTTAGACCTTCCACTGTTACAACAATCACCAACTCTACTTTGGTTGGTGAGTTAGATTGGAAAATATTTGGACTCTACACCCTATTTCTCCACACTGCCTCTCTTATTCCTGACCCCCCTCTTGCTCCTCTCTTGGAGTCCCCGAGGTCAGAGTCCTGGTTGGAGCCGCTGTAAATCACCTCAGTACTGTATGTCCTGCTGTCAAACTTGCCTCCGTCGGCCTCGGAGGCTGGTTCAGTTTCATTGCTGATGGATGCATGGACAAGTGGCCTAATGGACTGATGCATAGATAAGGGATGGATGGACAGAGGGATTGACGAATGGATAGATTAGTAGACGTATGGAGTGAAAGATATCTGACTGGATGGAAACATATATGAATGAATGGATGAGGGTTTTCTGCTTGGCCTCCCATTACAATAAACCACACAGTAAACACAACACATG